TACCTTCTGGGAATACTATAATGCCACTGAACACTGTCTCTGATTTTTTACAGATTAAGTACACAATTAAACCTGCTCGGTCCATTAGATACGGTGTATGGAACTGCTTTAGACTGTCAGTGGGCTGAACAAGTCAATAATGGCGGTTAGTTAACCACTTCCAGTCCGGACACTTTCAACCCCTTCCTGTCCAGGCCAATTTTCAGCTTTCAGCACTATCACACTTTGAATGACAATTGCGCGGTCATGCAACACTGTACCCGTATGAATGTTTTAGCATTTTTTTGAGACAGATAAAACTTTATTTTGGTGGTATTTATTCACCACTGGGATTTTTATTTTTTTTGCTATATAAATTTTGAAAAAACTTGTTTTTCTTATAAAATTTTGCAAATATATAATCTTTTTTCATAAATCTTGGCCAAAATGTATTCAGTTATCTTTTTAGTAAAAAAAAATAACCCAAATTAGTTTATAACCAAAAATTGTAATTTTAGGAGCCCCATTGGGGGGGCTTTCGTGAAATATCAGCGGTCCAAACAGACCTCTAATGTTCCACCTTTGAGACAGAGACAAAGCCCTCAATCTCCATCTCTACAGCTTCAGCTGCACTGAATGAATGGACAGGGATAGCACTGTACAGAACTTCCCCTCCATTCACAAACTGAAGCACAGTAAGCACAGTTTACTATGCCTCAGTAATGAATGGACACAGGAGTGATCACTACTGATTACTGACTCTGTCCATTCAAAGAAGGAAGGGGCTGGAAAATGACATGTTTTACTAGCTCCTGCCCCACTCTCCATCCTGAAAAGATCCTCTGCAGCAGCCAGCTGAGAGGAGAGGAGGGAACCTGGTAGAAATGCAGGGGGCAAGGGGGGGCCAGGGGAGCATACAGAGGAAGCAGGACGGAGATAGGAGGGGTGGTGGGGGCAGCATTTAGAGGAACCGATCCCCTCCATATTCCTTCTGCAGCCACTGACTGCCTGTGGGGGGGAGAGGGAGGGAGGAGGAGAAGCAGGCTTTCAGTGTCTGCAGGAGAAAAATTGGATCTTCTATATGCCGCCCCCTCCGCCCCTCCTCTCCAGGTCTACAGGGGAGCTGCACGGGCCCCCTGGAGAACGGGGCCGGGTCGCAACTGTGACCTTTGTAGTTACACCACTACCCCTGATCTGGACTACAAACACCTTCCTCTTTCCACATCTCGATTACATAGTGGAGGGTTACTTTTCGATTCATGGGAGATAGCTGAGAAAGCTGATAACATTGTCTGAGACTTCACTTTGGTCCACAGGAAGTTACAAAGATGCAAGGTTTCCGATAGGGTGAGCAGCTATTTTTCTGTACTTGCAGAAAATGTACTTAGCCTGAAATAAAGAAAGGTAATGCAGCCACCACATCTAAGAACTGGTAATCTGAAATACATTACATTTTTGTTTGTGGATTTAGATACCATTAACCCTGTTCATTCTTCTAGCGTGTAAATACAGCATCTCCTCAAACAAATTCCTAAGGCTAGCCATACAATATGCAATTTCTTTCCTTCAGCCACAGGATGAAGGAAAGAAAATTGTGTGATTGCTCCATCGACACAGTAAGGCTCCATGTACACGGGACGTTTGGAAAACACTTCTGAACGATGGAAACTGACTGCTGGAAAACGTAGGTTAAAAAACGTCTGTTTTGCTGCGTTTGCATACCGCGTTTATGAGCGTTTGCGTTTAGAAGCATTTTTAAAAGATAACCTCAGGAGACCTTCCAAAATGCCCAGAATGCACTGAAAAATATTAAACAAAATTAACTATTTCAGACATTTTGAGAGGAATAGAGAGAGCAGAAGCAGAGAGAGCAGTATGTGTTGAGATGACCTGTCTTTTCTCGTTGTATTCACTATGGATCCCATCATGAGCATAATGCGGCGCGTTCTACCATTTATTCCTTCACACAAAACCTGGAACTGACTGCGCTGGTGTACCGGGTCCATTTGAATACATGGAAAACGCTTTGCATGCATTTCTGATGATGAAAAAAGGCTCTGGACAGCATCTGGACACGGAACAGTTAAAAAAAAACGCTTCTAAACGCAAATGCTTATGAATGCGGTTAACCGCATTTAAGCGCATTTACAAGCATTTGGCATTTGAAACGCTGATAAAATCTACTCCTGAACGCAAGTTTGGTGCGTTAAAAAAAACGACTGTAAACTCAACTGCCTGTAAACAACAGTCTACATGGACACATAGGAAAACATTAGGGAGAGTAGGGGGGCTGCTGAAAAAAAAAATGCAGAAAAGCTCCTGAACGTCAGTTTATCAGCTGCAGTGTACATGAACCCTTACTGTTAATGGAGGAATCCCTCCCACAGCACTGTTGTGCTCTGCTGGTAAGAAGCCTTTCCCACCACCAAGAATACAATGATCACTGCCAGCGGCAAAAAAAACCTGACAGGCTGGTTGTACTGAAGTCGACTTCAGTACAACCAGCCTGCCCATAGCTGGGCAAAAATTCGGCCAGTACCTGCTGAACCAGACAAATTTTAATTTATTGTCGGCTTTAGTTCCTCAAAACATACAATCTAAGGCTCCATTCACACCAGGGCGTTTCAAATCGCAGGCGGAGTCACTGGAATTCTGCCCGTTATTTGAAAAAGCGCTGTAGAAATGTTATATAGTTAGTCTGGCTGAAAAAAAAGACAAAAGTCCATCCAGTTCAACCATTAAAAAGAAAAAAAAAAAAAAAAAAAAAAAAAAAAGTTATAATCCTACACCCACAGCTGATCCAGAGGAAGGCAAAAAACCCAGCAAAGCATGATCCAATTTGCTCCTGCTGGGAAAAAAATTCCTTCCTGATCCCCCGAGAGGCAATCGGATATTCCCTGGATCAACTTTACCTATAAATGTTATATCCAGTTATATTCTGTGTATCCAAGAAAGAATCCAGGACTTTCCTACAGCAATCCACTGAGCTGGCCAGAACCAACTCTTGAGGGAGTCTATTCCACATTTTCACAGCTCTTACTGTGAAGAAACCTTTCCGTGTTTGGAGATTACATTTCTTTTCCTCCAGATGTAAAGAGAGCCCCCTTGTCCTCTGTGATGACCTCAGGTGTTCAGGTGCCATTCATTTCAGGAGCATTTTTCCATGTGACAAAAGTGATGCAATTGTGCAAACAAATCACAGAATGCGCAAAGCCCAAAAACAGTGCCGAATCCTTTTTTGGCCGTTGCGCATCCTGTGGTTTTGTTTGCGCAGTCCTGGCACGTTTGTTGTGCAGAAAAATGCGCCACGATCGCGGCAAAAATGCCCCACATTTTTAGGTGCCAGTGAAATGAATTGGGCGCTTCCAATTTGAAATGCCCTGATCTGAATGGAGCCTAAGTGAACTAAAGGGAGCTGACGCTGGTATGCAAATTCTGACTTTTTTTCAAAAAGCTACACTCTTTTCTCCATCCGTCACGGCTCCCCACAACATGGGTATGCAGCAGGGGCAGACTGACAACTCATGGGGCCCCCCGGGCAATAGGGGATCATGGGGCCCCTGTGTCCTTGCCCAAACTAAAAAAAGCCTATGAAAAAGGTACCAGGGGCATCTCATGGGGCCCCCTACTGACCCCGGGCCCTCGGGCAGTGCCCGAGTTTCCAAATGGTCAGTCCACCCCTGGTATGCAGAGAGCAGTGTCACATGACTGCCACCAGAAGAGGTCTTTGACATGCAAGCTGTGATTGGTGGCCTGGTTTCACCTTCGCTATGCTGTGCCAAAGTCATAATGGTGGCCCCCAATGGGGAAATGACAGGATCTCTGGGGGTAGACTGCAGCCAGGTTGTTGTTCAATGAATGTGCACCAGGGAGTGGTTGATATGCTGAATAATTATTATTTGGCAGCAGTTTCTGTAAACATAGGTAAAAAAAAAAAAAATCATCATAGGTTCAATCGTTCATACTGAGCGTTGGAAAAACGAGACACTTCAGAGGGTGGAAACATCGAGCGCTTCTGTGGTCATTTTTTCCATTCAACTTTTATTATTGAGAAAATGCATTGTAATTATTTCCAACCCCCCCCCATACGTGTAACTGATTAGATAAATACGGTACACTAATCATTTTCTTCAGAGAGTGATCGCAGCCTAAGTAGAAAAGCCTGTCCCCTGCCAGCATGCAGCGAAGAAGGAACCGTGTTCTCTTCATGGAAGCAGCAGTCTCTCTGCAAATGTCCAACATGCCCCCAAATGAGTCAGAGCCAGAGCTCTCCAATCAGCAGGGTGCATGGAGTTTACCCATTGCAGAGTTCTAGTGCTGAGTTATCAGGAAGGGGGAGGGGGGGTTGGACCTCTGCAGAGAGACCACTGCTTCCACACAGAGAGCGTGGGACTTGCTCTGCTTTTTCATTATCCTTCTACAGAAACCAAGCTAAGACGTTGTACGTCTTTTCTGATACACTGAGTTTATCTTACATTGGAGATCAGTGGGAAGAATGCTCCTTACATTGGGGGTCAGTGGGAAGAATGTCTCTTACATTGGGGGTCAGTGGGAAGAATGTCTCTTACATTGGTGGTCAGTGGGAAGAATGTCCCTTACGTTGGTGGTCAGTGGGAAGAATGTCCCTTACATTGGAGATCAGTGGGAAGAATGCTCCTTACATTGGGGGTCAGTGGGAAGAATGTCTCTTACATTGGGGGTCAGTGGGAAGAATGTCTCTTACATTGGTGGTCAGTGGGAAGAATGTCCCTTACGTTGGTGTCAGTGGGAAGAATGTCCCTTACATTGGAGATCAGTGGGAAGAATGCTCCTTACATTGGGGGTCAGTGGGAAGAATGTCTCTTACATTGGGGGTCAGTGGGAAGAATGTCTCTTACATTGGAGATCAGTGGGAAGAATGCTCCTTACATTGGGGGTCAGTGGGAAGAATGTCTCTTACATTGGGGGTCAGTGGGAAGAATGTCTCTTACATTGGTGGTCAGTGGGAAGAATGTCCCTTACGTTGGTGGTCAGTGGGAAGAATGTCCCTTACATTGGAGATCAGTGGGAAGAATGCTCCTTACATTGGGGGTCAGTGGGAAGAATGTCTCTTACATTGGGGGTCAGTGGGAAGAATGTCTCTTACATTGGTGGTCAGTGGGAAGAATGTCCCTTACGTTGGTGGTCAGTGGGAAGAATGTCCCTTACATTGGAGATCAGTGGGAAGAATGCTCCTTACATTGGGGGGTCAGTGGGAAGAATGTCTCTTACATTGGGGGTCAGTGGGAAGAATGTCTCTTACATTGGGATCAGTGGGAAGAATGCTCCTTACATTGGGGGTCAGTGGGAAGAATGTCTCTTACATTGGGGGTCAGTGGGAAGAATGTCTCTTACATTGGTGGTCAGTGGGAAGAATGTCCCTTACGTTGGTGGTCAGTGGGAAGAATGTCCCTTACATTGGAGATCAGTGGGAAGAATGCTCCTTACATTGGAGATCAGTGGGAAGAATGTTCCTTACATTGGTGGTCAGTGGGAAGAATGCTCCTTACATTGGTGGTCAGTGGGAAGAATGCTCCTTACATTGGAGATCAGTGGGAAGAATGCTCCTTACATTGGAGATCAGTGGGAAGAATGTTCCTTACATTGGTGGTCAGTGGGAAGAATGCTCCTTACATTGGTGGTCAGTGGGAAGAATGCTCCTTACATTGATGGTCAGTGGGAAGAATGCTCCTTACATTGGAGATCAGTGGGGAGAATGCTCCTTACATTGGTGGTCAGTGGGAAGAATGCTCCTTACATTGATGGTCAGTGGGAAGAATGTCCCTTACATTGGGGGTCAGTGGGAAGAATGTCCCTTACATTGGTGATCAGTGGGAAGAATGTTCCTTACATTGGGGGTCAGTGGGAAGAATGTCCCTTACATTGGGGGTCAGTGGGAAGGATGTTCCTTACATTGGAGGTCAGTGTGAAGAATGCTCCTTACATTGGAGGTCAGTGGGAAGAATGCCCCTTACATTGGCGGTCAGTGGGAAGAATGCCCCTTACATTGGCGGTCAGTGGGAAGAATGCCCCTTACATTGGCGGTCAGTGGGGAAGAATGCCCCTTGCATTGGGGGTCAGTGGGAAGAATGACCCTTACATTGGCGGTCAGTGGGAAGAATGCCCCTTACATTGGGGGTCAGTGGGAAGAATGTCCCTTACATTGGCGGTCAGTGGGAAGAATGCCCCTTACATTGGCGGTCAGTGGGAAGAATGCCCCTTACATTGGAGGTCAGTGGGAAGAATGTCCCTTACATTGGCGATCAGTGGGAAGAATGCTTCTTACATTGGTGATCAGTGGGAAGAATGTCCCTTACATTGGGGGTCAGTGGAAGAAGAATGTTTCTTACATTGGTGATCAGTGGGAAGAATGTCCCTTACATTGGGGGTCAGTGGGAAGAATGTCCCTTACATTGGAGGTCAGTGGGAAGAATGCTCCTTACATTAGGGGGTCAGTGGGAAGAATGTATCTTACATTAGGGGGTCAGTGGGACGAATGTATCTTACATTGGTGGTCAGTGGGAAGAATGCTTCTTACATTGGGGGTCAGTGGGAAGAATGTATCTTACATTAGGGGGTCAGTGGGACGAATGTATCTTACATTAGGGGGTCAGTGGGACGAATGTATCTTACATTGGTGGTCAGTGGGAAGAATGCTTCTTACATTGGTGATCAGTGGGAAGAATGTCCCTTACATTGGAGGTCAGTGGGAAGAATGCTCCTTACATTAGGGGGTCAGTGGGGAAGAATGTATCTTACATTAGGGGTCAGTGGGAAGAAGGCTCCTTACATTGGTGGTCAGTGGGCAAATAATCCAGTATGCAGTTTACATCATTATAGATTTTAATTGCAATACTAATATCACGTGTTCATTGATAAATGGCTTATTTGCATCTCATTGCAGAATATGGAAAACCAATCACGGTGAGATTTGCGAAGCATCAGGTTCCCCGTGCTGACCCCCGCCCACTGAGGATGACACACAACCGGAGCGATGATGCAATCTGACAGCAGGGCCAACCCCGCCCCCTTTTCATTCACTCTACAGTCCAGGGGATGAAGGAGGAGCCCTGCGTGAAATGCCCGCCCACTCTCGCTCGGAACTGAGTGGGCGTGCCTCTCATGTGTTTATAGACACGTACTGAATTCTTCCCGTGTTTACGTAGACGTGACGTCAGTCGAGATACGCCCCTTGTGTCAGGGTATCTTCCGGGTAGGAGGCGAGCGCCGGGGAGTGATGCTGCTGCGGAGACCCGGAGAGGACACTATGAGACCCCTCATCACCTTCATCCTCCTCAGCTGCCTGCTACCATGGCAACCCGAGTCCAGGGCCAACGCGGCCTCCTCTGCTCACAGCTGCTTCTGCCAGGTGAGGGGGGTGGCCAGGCTGTGCTATGGTGGGGGGACACCGAGAGCCTTCCCATACAGTCCGGGGGCCCCAACTGCCTCCCCTCTATTATTTCACTGGATTATTATTATTATCATTTCAGAGATTAATATTTCAGTTTTTTTTCTATAATACTCTGATTATTATCATTTCACTTACATTTATGTGTTATTATTCATATTGCCTTTATTTTATTTTTTTGTTTTTTTTTGTTTGTTTTTTTTTTACAGAGGTTATACTGATTATTTTCATTTGCTGCTTTTGATTCCATATACAAATAGTTACATTTTGTGTATTATTATTATTATTATTGATACTGTATTTAATTTATATTTAAAGAATTTTTTAAAATATTTTTTTTCAGAATTATCTGTTTATTACAATTTTCAGCTCTTTATTCCATATAAGCAACACTGACATTTTGTGTATTAATATTACTGTATTTTTTTATAATTTAAATTTTTTTTTATTTTCAGAGGTTATTATACTCTATTATTTGCGGCTCTTTATTCCACATAAGCAACACTTACATTTTTGTATTATTATAATAATAGTAATCTATAAAGAATTTATTTTTTTCAGAGGTTAATATGTTCTCATTTGTGGCTCTTTGTTCCATATGAGCAACACTGACATTTTTTTGTTGTTGTTATTATTACTGTATTTTTTATCATTTTGAATGTTTTTTTTTTAAGAGGTTATTATACTCTGATTATTATTTGTGGCTCTTTATTCCATGTAAGCAACACTTATATTTTTGTATTATTTTTTTTTTATATTTTTTTTTTCAGAGGTTATTATACTCTGATTATCATTTGTGTCTTTATTCCATGTAAGCAACACTTATATTTTTGTATTATAATAATAATAATAAATATAATATATAAAATATAATATTTTTTTTCATAGGTTATTATATTTTCATTTGCGACTCTTTAGTCCATATAAGCAACACCTTTTTTTTTTATTATTGTTACTATATTTTCGATTTTTTTTAAAATATTTATATTTTTTCAGTGATCGCTGTAATTGCGGACGATAGGCTGCAATTTGGCATGTGATTTGCAAGTTGCATGGTATGCCAATCTGCATCCAGTGTGGCCGGGGTCATAACATGGTTTCCTATGAGACACATTCACAGCTATGCATTTTTTCGAAAAGTGGCCGGGGCAAAGCGGTGCATTTATTGTTCAATGGACTTCAATGGAGACATGCAGAAAAGCATGGAGCACACATTGGCTAAATGGTTGGCACTTCCACCTGGCAGCTGTAGGTTTTGTTGGTTCGAATCCCAGCCACGGCACCACCTGCCTGGAGTTTGCATGTCCTCCCTGTTGCTGCATGGGTTTCTTTTTCCGGGTACTCCGGTTTCCTCCCACACTCCAAAGACATGCTGGTAGGTTAATTGGCTCCTGTCTACATTGTCCCTAGTATGTGTATGTATGAATGTGAGTTAGGGACCTTAGATTGTACGCCCCTTGAGGGTTAGGGACTGATGTGAATGTACAATATACATGTACAGCGCTGCGTAAACTGACGGCGCTTTAAGAACTTACATTTATTTATTATTTTACTTCTATTAACCACTTCAAGGCGGAAACACTTATACCCCCTTCCTGTCCAGGCCAATTTTCAGCGCGGTCATGCAACTCTGTACCTATATGAATTTTTTTTGCATTTTTTTGAGACAGATAAAGCTTTATTTTGGTGCTATTTATTCACCACTGGGATTTTTATTTTTTTTGCTATATAAATGAAAAAGTCCAAAAATTTTGAAAAAAAGTGTTTTTCTTATAAAAAAGTTACAAATAAATAATCTTTCTTCATAAATCTTGGCCAAAATGTATTCAGTTATCTTTTTAGTAAAACAGAATAACCCAAATTAGTTTTATAACCAAAAATTTATAATTTTTTAAACGTTTTTACATTTTTATTTTTTTTTTTATATATTTTTATTTTTTTTTTACATACTGTCACCCTAGCAGTACAGTGTCACCATAGTGACACTGTACTACTTGTGGGGGGTGATGAAAAATGTTTTTTTTCTTACACTAATAGCTTTTCCACCCACAAAGGCTGTAAAAGCAATCATTTCTCCTTCTCTCTGGTTGCATTCTTGCAGCCATTGAGAAATACTGTGTGAGCTGTGATTGGTCACAGCTTGCCACATGGTACAAGGCTGTTGTGAATAGCCTTGTACCATGCGATCTCTGTGATCCTTCACAGATTTCACACGTGGTAAGCAATGATGTCAGAAGTGACCTCTTGCTTACTGCTGTTCATGTGATCACTGATTGGCCAATCAGTGATCACATGATCTGGACCTCACACAGAGGTCCTGTACGACGATCGGTGTTCCGCTGTGTCCTCCGGATTGCTGTACACAGCGGGCACCGGATCGCGGTACCCCCCCGCGCACTCCCAGGGAGCGCGCACATTTCAAAATGGCGGGCACTGTTTATGAACCCCCGCACCCCTGCATGAATGACCTGCCCCTGCACTGCCACCGTCCGGCCGTTTATATACAGCGGCTGGATGGCAAGTGGTTAACCTCCCTAGCTGTCTGATTATGTCCATATTTCTGTGCTCAAAGCGGTACATTTTTTTTGCATGGAAATATGTTTTTTTTATTGTAGGCCTGTAATTTTATTTAGGAATAACTCACTGAAATCTGTCCGAACAAGAGTCTAGTAAACATCCCAGGTAGGATAAAGTTTGAAACACAAAATCATAAATTATAATATAATAAATACTCATAAAAAATAATACATTTAATTCAATAATATAATCAAACCAAAAACACTGAAATGTAAATATAGCGCCAAGTTCGCACATCACTGAGCAAAGTCGCAGAATCGTTTTCAGTGTCTGATGAGGAATTTCCCCACGAATCATTATCACTCAATTCTGCAAGTGGTTCTGATTTACTATCGCTGTTCTCTAGCCGGTCTAAAACCGCGTCTGACCTAAAGGGACGCTTTTTGGACGCCATGGACGTTTCTCAGTTTCCAGGCAGAAAGAACAGTAAAAATGCAGGCAGGGCGCCGGACAAAGCACTCGGGACAAAATGTATGTGAAATGGTTTGATACAGGAATGTTATACTATGTGATTTTAGTGAATTTAGTGAATGTCACTTTTAAAATGCTTGAATCTCTCGCTGGTTCCGTTCCCCGTACGTCCTGACGTCACAGGGAACGGAACCCAGAAGACAGATGCCGGCATCGGCTAGAGGAGATGGATGGGGACACTGCAGGAGGACATCACGGGAGGGCAGGACAAGGTAAGTGAATAAGGGATCCCGGAGCAGCGCTGCAGTGTATTCCCGAGTGTAGCTCGGGGGGGTTACCGCTTGTGGTGCTGAAACTTTACCCCGAGCTACACTCGGGGATACCGCCAGGGGACGCTAATATTGTTTACTGTCAGTAGTTGGTCGCGTTCAGCTGGGCTTGTTCTGTAATGTTGAAGATATTCCATAGTCTTTTTAAAGCAGAGCTCCACCCAAAAAGGGAAGTTCCGCTTTAAGGCTTTGTCCCCCGCTCCCCATTAAGGACTGGCACCTTTTGGAAGCAGGTACCCAAATTTGAAAGGTACCCGCTCCCACTTCCGCTGCGAGCGCTTAGGCTAACGGAAGCGGAAGTCGTCAGTTTTTGTTGCTGCTGACTTTTTTTTTTTTTTTTTTTTTTTTTTTCAGGTGGAACTGCGCTTTAAGGCCCATTCACATTGAACGTAGCGGGACATATGTTACCACTCATTATTTTTCAGCACGATTTGCACGTGGTTCAGCGTGTTGCACATAGAGCAGTCCATTCTCTTCATTTGGCTGCCCTGTGCGCTTTTGTTGCTCCAAATAAGCGCCTTCTCCTTTTTGGGCGACGAATTTAGTTTTCTTTTTAATGGCTGCAATCTCTGTACGCCGTGTTTGGGGTGCCATTAGGGATTGCGGCACCCAAACGAGCGTCATGCGTTTTACAGCGATGTGGAATCGCGGCAATTCTGCTGGCAATGCCAAATCTCCAAGTGTGATTGGGGCCTAAGCCTTTAGTAATGGTGAATGGAAGGAAAATACCCCAATGTTTCTGTTCACACAGAACCCAGACAGTCTACAGTGGAACTCCAGTCTCCTCCCACCCTTTCACTGGCGCTCTACACAGTCCACTTGCCCCCTTCCCTCCTGCATTCTACTTGACTTTCCCAAGTTGCTCCTCAGTACAGCGTCTGCAGTTTTTTTTCAGGGAAGAACAAAACTGTCATTCTGCCCGTTTCCTTAACCCACCCCCCACGCGCGCGCGCACACACACACGGCACATCATGCTGGCTGGGCTCCCCATAGTCTAGGACTGAGCAGTACTGACATGTCATGAAATCAGAGCCACCCAATCCTGAGACAATGCCTGTATCCCCCCTTCTGCCTTTCCACCAGAGGAAGTAAAAGGGGTCCTCCTCTCCTTTTAATGTTACTGGGCTGGCTTCTGTAATGCGCAAAAAAGTTTCGAAACTTTTTTTTTTTTTTGTAAACCCTTCCTTTTTTTTGTAAACAAATCCTTGTACATAAGTTGTATGTGTTTATCTGCTGTCTTTCCTCCTGTACAGCCTCCTAAAGCACACAGCATCTCTCTGCTTCCAGAGGCAGGGGGTGGGGATCTGATGTCACACACTGCACAACACAGAGCAGGGAGCTTAGTGTAATCTGAGACCTGAGTGGAATGAAAGGTCAGTCCCCGCCCCCCCCCCCCCCCCTTTACACTTTCATTGGGAAACATGCACAGTTGGGGCCACCAATATGTTACATAGCCTTTCCCACCACCAAGAATACAATGATCACTGCCAGCGGCAAAAGAAACTGACAGGCTGGTTGTACTGAAGTCGACTTCAGTACAACCAGCCTGCCCATAGCTGGACCGAAATTTGGCCAGTACCTGCTGAACCAGCCGAATTTTAATCTATTGCCGGATTTAGTTCCTCCAAAACATACAATCTAAGG